CTTTCGATATAAGCCTCGACGCTTCTCAACATTTAAACACTTTTCAATAAAGGCCCACGAAAGATCTTTATTTCGACTTTTACTTCTTAAATAAAGTATCACGAATGCTTTCTATTTCGGTTTGTCTCGCGACGGCTCCTTATTTCGGTTTGCTTAAGATCACTTTTCTTCGGATAAAGGCCCACGAAGGTTCTTTATTTCGGCTTGGCTAAAATCATTTTTCTTGGAAAAGGCTCACGACGGTTTTTTTATTTCGGTTTGCCTAAAATCACTTTTCTTCGGATAAAGGCCCACGACGGCTCTTTTTTTCGATTTGCCTACAATCACTTTTCTTTGGATAAAGGCCCACGACGGCTCTTTATATTGATTTGCCTACAATCACTTTTCTTTGGATAAAGGTCCACGGCGGCTCTTTATTTCGGTTTGTTTAAAATCACTTTTCTTTGGATAAGGGCACACGATAGATCTTCATTTTGGTTTGCTTAAAATCACTTTTCTTTGGATAAAGGCCGACGACGTATTTTTTGTACGGTATGCTTAAAATTACTTTTCTTTGGATAAAGGCCAACGACGTCTCTTCATTTCGGTTTGCCTAAAATTACTTTTCATTGGATAAAGGCCACGATGGCTCTTTATTCCGGTTTACTTAAAATTACTTTTCTTTGGAGAAAGTCTCACGACGGCTCTTTATTTCGGTTTGGTTAAAATCTCGTTTCATTGGATAAAGGCCCACGACGGCTCCTTGTTGCGGGTTGCTTAAAATCACTTGTCATTGAAAAAAGGCTCACGACGGTTCTTTAGTTTGCTTAAAATCACTTTTTCGGCGGCTCTTAATTTCGGTTTATTTAAAATCACTTTTCTTTTTATGAAATCCCACGACGGCTCTTTATTTTGGTTTGGTTATTCGTTGATAATTATAAATCACTTGCTTCAATATTGTATACTCACCACTACTTCCTCCTTCTCCGCTCTTAATTTCTCTTATCCTCGGGAACTTCTTGCTACGGTTGACGGCTCTGCACCGACTGATCACCAGCCCGGCTTGTCCCTCTCACTTTTCTACACTCGGTCGCGAATTCCTGGATGCTTTCAGTCGACTTGCCGACGTCAAACATCTGCTGCTGCGCCGACCACGTGGCCTCTCCGCTAACGGGAACTTGTTTACGAACATGGTGTTAATGTTAACGGGAACATAACGTTTACATCTTCATTAGAATTTACTTTTCAACTAAACATGTTGGGCACAACTGTACTACTCTATTTTGTTGAAATCATCAACTAGTGAATTTGGTTATCAATAAAATATTTAACTATTTGGATTATTACTATTATCGGAAATTCAAAATAAACTGAAAAACAAACAGTATTTTTTAAAAATTATAAAAAAAAAATATTTTTTTAACTTTGTTTCTGGTATGGAAATGAGGGAGTGGGCGATTTGCATCCTTACATTTTATAAAGTGATGCTTGTATATGCTTGGTTCTTGAATGATGAGCTCCAAACACAGCCGTTCAAATGACTCCTGAATTATTCTTTCTTCGGAATTCCCATTCCCTTTCAATATTTTCTAAAACTTCGCCAAGCATTCGTCTAAAAATGCCGTAAAAGTCTTCTATCACCAAAAATGCCCTTAAATGCTTCTATCGTCGGAAAAAGGCTTCTGTCATCGAAAAAAGAACTTTAAAGCTTCTGTCACCAAGAATGCCGTTAAAGTTTTCGATCATCCAAAAAAAGGGGTTTAAAGGCTTCTGCCATCGAAAAAAAGTACTTTAAAGCTTCTATCGTCGAAAAAGACCTTAAAAGGCCTATATCGTCTAAAAAAGGCGTTAGAATGCTTCTATCGTCTAAAAAGGCCTTTAAAGGCTTCGATCATCGAAAGAAAGACCTTTAAAGACTTATATAATCGAAAAAAGGCTTCTAAAGGTTTTTGTCCTCGAAAAAGGCCTTTAAAGGCTTCTGTCATCGAAAAAGACCTTAAAAGGCTTCTATCGTCTAAAAAAGGCGTTTGAAGGCTTCTATCGTCTAAAAAGGCCCTTAAAGGTTTTTATTGTTTAAAAAAGGCCTCGAAAAGTCATCGATAAAGGTATTTAAAGGCTTCGATGGTCTAAAAAGGCCTTCATATGTTTCTACCGCTCTGTACTACAGCTGCCAGGAAACAAAACGATTGACTGCGGATTTTTGGTTAATTAGAGAAGAAAAGGCCTCCTCTCCAGATGTGCGAATTGCTATAAACCACATAAAAGCGAAGTTCTTCTATATGCTTATGCTCCGATCGAAGACAAGGTTGAGCAGACAAATGAGCGCCTTGAAACAGCATATGTCCGCTGCCCTGGCCATGACATTAAAATTCTGCGAGGAGATTTTAAATCGGAAGGGAAATATCTTTGGCCCCCAACGTCGGAAAATTCAGTATCCATGAAAAGAAATCTGGCAACGGCATGAGGTTAATTGACTTTGCGGCAGCAAAAAACATGGTAGTTAGAAGCACCAGATTCAAACATCTCGATATACACAAGGCCACTTGGATTTCTCCTGATCATGCAACGAGAAGTCAAACTGACCATGTTGTGATAGATGGAAGGATACAGGCACTTCCTCATGTAGAGATGAAGTTGGTAACCTGATGACAGATAGCGTGTTGAGGATCTGGAAGTGCATTTTGCTAAGCTTCTGGTATCAAATAGTGGCGGTGAAGAAGATACCGCAGAACCAACCAGCGAGCGGAGCAGTATAGTCGGACGGGGCCGACCATACGATACCCTACACAACTACCACGGAACTGCGGTAGTTTATATATAGTTCTGCGGATTTTTATTCCGAGCCTGGGCAATATTTCGTGATATTGGCATCCTCTTGCCCGATTAGAGGTAAACAGCACCGCTTCCTCACACTGACATATTTTCCGGAAATTACGAGTATTCAGTACAGCTATTGTCCAGATTCCCTTCACCGTGGGTTGTGTTGTGATGTTCGGACTTCATTTGTGGTCTATAGATCGACTCGAAAATAATACAAAAAATTAAGTTTTCGGTCCACTTCATTCCAAAAATATTATCTGATCATCACCGAAAATTATAGGCCTTGTCCTTGACCATAACTGGAACCTTATGGAACATTTCAAAGCGATCAGCGCTATAGTTCCGCGCTCTAGAGTGATAATGGGTTACTAAATAATATACGGATACGGAGATACCTGTAAATATTTAGGTGTAACTCCCACATCCGAGCACATACAACAATATAATTGGTATTAATTTAAAGGTCAACCACTCCTCTTTGATATAATATCAACTTCTCGGATCGACGTCATTCAGGGGTAAATATATACGCTATAGAATACAAATTTTGTCATTTTTCACACAAAATTCAGGGTCCATTTGACCCGCTAAATATTGACCAATCTTTATCAAAACAGGCATGCTTATTCTTTGGCCCGATCCCCTTCTCCATGCAAAATTTCACGATGTTCGGGCCATTACTGCGGCCTCTGGAGCGACCAGAAAAACCGACAAAAATTTAGTATTTGGTCCATTTCATCCCCTAAATATTAACCGATCTTTCCCAAAAACAATAGGGTCTTCATTGGCCAGAACCCATCCTACATGCAAAATTTCGTGAAGATTGGTCCATAACTGTGGCCTGTATCGTGTTTACAAATTATAATGGACAGACGGACACACATGTCTAGATCGACTCAGCTAGTCGAGATATGACGATCGGTATACTTAAAGGTGGGTCTAGGACCAATATTTCGCGGCGTTACAAACTTTTGGGGCTGCACAAAGCTATAATACCCTGACAACATAGTTGTGTAGGGTATAATAAGAGAGGACGGTAGACCACCTAGCCAAGATGAGGTCAGAGTAGCAATCAATCGACTGAAGAATAGTAAAGCTGCCGGTGCCGGTGCGATCTATTCAAGACCGGTGGTCAGATGTTCATTAGGAGCATGCATCGGCTGATTTATACTATGTTGCATGCTCTTTTATTGAAACCTCAGTATTCTGTGCACAAAAATTAAGACAAGACGATATAGAGGAATTAGTCTCCTTGCCATTGCTTATAAAGTGCTATCCAGCGTGCTGTGTGAACCACTAAAACCAATGGTAGTTGACATTATTGGACCATACCAATTCGGCTTCAGACCTGGCAATTCCACCATTGACCACATTTTCGCTCTGCGCCAAAACCTGGAAAAGACACACGAATATTCGACAAGCCCTATCCGTTCAGAAGTGTTTAAAGTAATGTATGCGTTCGGCAAAATTAATACGGCTATGCATGATAACTTTAACTGACATAAGATCAGCAGTTAAAGTCGGAAAGGACCTCTCGGAACGCTTTAATACCGAACGAGCGCTCAGACAAGGTGACAGTTTATCGTGTGATCTTCTTAACATTTTGCTGGGATAGATCATACGAGAGACAAAGGTGAACAGAAATGACATTCTGTACACCAAACAGCATATATTACCCTCCTATGCCGATGACATCTATATAATGGGTCGAACATTGCGAGCGATAACAGTCATTTTTGAACAAATTGAGAAGGACTCTGCCAATAAATGGCGAGAAGACCAAGCTGATGGTATCAACGCGTAAGACGTCCACTAGACTCGGATCAACTGTGGAACTTTAAAACTGCAGCCTCGATGTAGTCATCAGTTTTGAAATTCGGAAGAGAATAATGTTGGCCAACAGATGCTACTATGGTCTGAGTAAGCAGTCTAAAAACAAGGCCACCTCTCGCCAGACCAAAACTCACACACTACATGACACTGATAATATCCGTGCTGGTGTATGGATCTGAAGCATGAGTACATGCGCAAGCTGATGAAGCAGCTCTTGGAGTGTTTGAGAGAAAGATCTATGGGCCGATATGCGTCGGCGGTGAACCATGTTTTATTTTAAATGAAGTGAAGTTTGTTTTAAAAAATTTTATCGTTTATTTTATTAAAGAAATTAAATGTAATTTTTCTTGCGAGTTACTATTGCGATTCTATCGCTTGGAACGTATCATCATCTCCGCTGATTTCAAGGTATATTTCCAGCCATTCCATGTGCCCCAGAAGATACCATATACATTGTCAACCGGTTGATAATACGAATGCAGGTCACTAAAATTCACAAAAAAAAATTTTAATTAACATTTTTCCTCTCTCTCTCTTCATGTTCTGCTCCCTGCCACCTACCACATAGATTGCACCGAACGCCACCAACCACCACCCCGCTCCACGGGGAAGCTACCATCATTATTATCCTTGGTAATAAATGGTGCACCGGCATGTGCTCTCAACGAATCACCCGCATCTCCACTATAGCTACCCAATTCGGTAATGGCATAACGTTTCAATTCACTTCCCACCCGGAATATATCATATTTGGCATAACGTGTTTGATTTTGATAATCACGCAGAATGACCAACAATTCTTGGGTGGCACCATAATTCGTCAGGGCATGCAACTGTTCGAGGCCTATGAAAAATTCACCATTTGGATTTCCGAAACCATTTTTATAATTTTCCCAGCCAAGATCAAAGGCCACTGAACCATCCAGGCGACGGGATATTGTTGTCCATTCGCGATGTTGATTAAGGGAAAGTATATCAGGAGTTTCTCCAAAGGAATAGGGTTTAGGGGCGGTGTTTTCCAAAATTTTCAAACTAAGGTTATGTTGCAGGTTTTGTCTATCTTCTAATTTGGAATAGCTGGAAATAATTGAAAATTACAACAACAACAAATTTAAAAAAAAAATTACAATAATTTGGAGTTGATTTTACCCTTGTTTAACTCCTTCAAGACCCTGTTCGAGGGATTTCTGGGCTTCGGCAGTAATATTTTCAAGGGTACCAGCAATTCGATCTTCCTGCACAATTAATCTGCAAAAAAAATAAAAATTGAAAAATTAATTTAAAAAAAAATCATGTCCAGATCGGACTGAAATATATATAGGAGCTATATATAAATCTGAAGCGATTTTTACATAACTTAGCACATATCATTCTGGACCTAATTCAGGATCATATGCCAAATTTCCTACAAATCAAAAGACATATAGGGACTTTGGTGCACCATTTACATGGAATCGGACGAAACTATATACGGGAGCTATATCTAAATCTGAACCGATTTTCACGAAACTTAGCACACATCATTCTGGACCTAATTCAGTGCCTTATGCCAAATTTCGAGCAAATCGAAAGTTATATAGGGACTTCGGGGCACCATTTACCTTAAATCGGACGAAAATGTATATGGGAGCTATATCTAAATCTGAACCGATTTTCTCGAAACTTAGCACATATCATTCTGGACCTAATTCAGTGCCTTATGCCAAATTTCGAGCAAATCGAAAGTTATATAGGGACTTCGGGGCATTTACATAAAATCGGACGAAAATATATATGGGAGCTATATCCAAATCTGAACCGATTTTAACGAAACTTTGCACACAGGGTATAAAAATCCACGCCTTTTATAGGTGCCTTAAAAAATATTCTTAAAAAATCCTCCTTACCTTTGACCCAATTCCTCCAAACCCTTTTCCATATATTCTTTAGAATCCATCCTCAAGGAATCCATTAAATGGGCAATGCGAACTTCTTGTTCGGCTAGTCTGGAAAAAATAAAAAAAATATTTTGAAAAAATGTTTCAACCTCTCTAAGATTTTTGGGTTACCTCTGTTGCAGAATATCCAATGTCTGATCCACAGATTGTTGGGTCCTTTGAGTCAGTGATTCGATTAATGTGCCTATTTGCTCCTCTTGCTGATCCTGTCTTCTATTCATGTCATCGAAACCCTTTTCCAGAAATTGTTGGGCATTCGAAGAAGTATTCTCAACGTGTTGCAGGACACGTTCCTCGCTCAGCTCTTGTCTAAAAAATATATATTTTACTTTTAATTGAGGAAAAAAATACAGAGGACTTTAGGGTCTAACCTTTGTCTTAGTTCTTCTAAATGTGTTTCCATATATTTTTGGGATTCCTTGGATATTGAATTCATTAGAGTAGTGAATCGGACTTCCTGATCATTGAGGCTGGAACCGTAAATTATTTGAAAGGGTATTTTATGCTTAATTTTTTCCATGCCTTACCTTTTTTGTATTTGTTCCTGGGTTTCCTCAATCGTTTGTTTGCCATTCAAGACTACGGATTCTATTAATTTTCCAATTTTCTCCTCTTGAAGATCCTGTCTATGGGGAGAGAGGATTTTCAAACCGTAAGGATTCGTTATAAAAGTGGTTACAATATCTTACCTTTCTTGTAATTCCTTGAAACCATTTTCCAGATAAACTTTGGTTTCGGCAGACATATTATCCACGAATGCTATAAAACGATCCTCGTCCTGTTCATATCTAATGAAAATTTTAAATAAAATAAATATTCAATTTGTTTTTTATTTCTATTTCAAATTTTATTTAATTACTTTCGTTTCAGATTATTGATACTGGTCTCCATTAATTTATTGGTCTCTTCTTTGAAGTTTTCCAACATCGTGGCCACATTGGACTCCTGGTCATTTTGTCTTAAAATAAAAAAAAAATATAAAAATATTTTTAAAAAATCCACGCCTTTTATATTTTTAAACCAGTAAAGAAAGTAGTAATGTCGGACGGGGCCGACTATATGATTTCCTTCACCACTTGGGTTTGGCAATGTTGTCGTCCACTTGGTCTTTCCATCGTATATGTGGCCTTCCCCTTCTGCGTGAACCATCAGCTGGTTCGCTCTTATATGCCTTATGGGCTGGGGACGTCTAACAATGTCGATGTCCGAGAATAGCTGGTACAACTCATGGTTCATTCGACGGCGATATTCACCGTCAACGCAGATCGACCTATAGATCTTTCGGAGAATTTTTCTCTCAAACACCCCAAGAGTTGCCTCATTTGCTTGCGTAAGTACCCACGCATCAGATCCATATAACAGCACGGGTAGTATCAGCGTCTTGTAGAGTGTGAGTTTGGCCTGGGGGGAGGTGGCCTTGCTTTTGAGATGTTTGCTCAGACCATATTAGTATCGGTTTGCCATCACTATCCTGACTGATCAAAACTGATGTCATTCGTTTTATTTATGGCACTACCAAGGTATATAACATCTTTGACTACCTCGAAGCTGTAATTCTCAATTTCCAAAGTTGGTCCGAGTCTACTGGACGTCTTGCGCGTTGATACCATAAGCTTGGTCTTCTCGCCGTTTACTGCCAGACCCATTTTGGCAGACTCCTTCTCAATTTGTTCAAAGGTGACTGTTGCCGCTCGCAATGTCCGATCCATTATGTCGATGTCATCAGCGTAGGCGAGTAACTGGTGTTGTTTGGTGCCATTTCTGTTCACTTTTGCCTCTCGTATGACCTTTTCCAGCAGGATGTTAAAAAGTTCACACGACAAACTGTCACTTCGTGTGAATCCTCGTTCGGTATTAAAGGGCTCCAAGAGGTCCTTTCCGACTTTAACTGCTGACCTTGTGCGCCATTTAAAGTTATCATGCGTAGCTGTATTAATTTTGCAGGAATGCCAAACGCAGACATGGCTTTAAACACCTCTGAACGGATAGGACTGTCGAATGCGGTTTTATAGTCGACGAAAAGTTGGAATGTGTCGATGTGTTTTTCGTGGGGTTTTTCAAGATTTGGCACAGATTATGGTGCAATAATGTCATTGACCATTGGCATCAGTCGTTCACACAGTACGCTGGATAGCACTTTATATGCGATGGGAAGGAGATTTATTCCTCTATAGTTGGCACATATCGTCTTGTCTCCTTTGTTGTGCACGGGACGCAGGATGTTGGGGTTCCAATCATTGCTGGTGCATGCTCCTGACCAGCATCTGACCACCAGTCTTGAATAGTTCGGCTTTTAATCAATCGGTACCTGCTGCTCTATTATTCTTCAGCCGATTCTGCTATTTGCTATTCTGACCTCATCTTGGCTAGGTGGTATACGCTCTATACCGTCATCTCTTATTGGTTCTGGGATATCTTCTTCACCGCCACTATTTGATACCAGAAGCTTTTCAAAATGTTCCTTCCAGATCCTCAACAAGCTGTCTGTATCTTTCGCCAGGTTTCCTTATTCATCTCTACAGAAGGATGTGCTTGCACCAAAGCCTTCGGTTTGGTGTTTGACCCGTTGGTAGAGTTTTCGGACTTCATTCTGACTCCTGTATATCTCGATTTGCTCACGCTCACGTTTTTCCTGTTCTTTCTTCTTTTTCTGAAAACACGTTTCTCCTCTCTCCTTTTCTCCGATAATTCTCCATCACATTACGTGTTGCTACTGTACGCAGACTTGTCCTATACGCTGCGTTTTTCTATCAGTAGCATTACGACACTCCTGATCGTACCACGGGTTTCTTGATGGTGGTCTGTGGTATCCAAGTGTTGCTTTTGCTGCAGTTTGTAGGGAGTGGGCAATCCTCTGCCACTGTGCTTCTATATTATTATCGGGACAAGGGGAGCTTTCGTCAAGCAGTTGGGTAAGTTGAGCGATGTAGGCCTCGACTACCTGTTGAGTTGCCAAGTCGAGTTTCCGTGTTACATTAGATCGCACCTTTGCTGCTACAGTAAGACGGGTGCGAACCTTGGCTGCTACAATGGTCCGAATTGATATTTGCTCCTCGGATCGATCAGACGACTAAAACACTGGATGAATGCCTTCCGTCTATCCAACATGATCGATTTGATTTTTCGTTGTTCGATCGGGAGAAATCCAACTGGTCTTGTGTATATCGAGATGCTTGAATCTGGTGCTGCTAACTACCATGTTTTTTGCTGCCGCGAAGTCAATCAACCTCATGCCGTTGTCTGATCCTAATTGAATATATTTCCAATTTTGTGCAAATCGAAGGATATATAGGGACTTTAATGCACCATTTACATAAAATCAGACGCAAATATATATGGGAGCTATATCTAAATCTGAACCAATTTTCACGAAATTTAGCCCACATCGTTCTAGACTTAATTAAGTACGATATGCCAAATTTCGTGCAAATCGAAAGATATATAGGGACTTTGGTGCACCATTTACCTTAAATCGGACGAAAATATGTATGGGAGCTATATCTAAATCTGAACTGATTTTTACGAAACTTAGCGCACATCATTCTAGACTCAATTCAGTATGCTGTGCCAAATTTCGTGCAAATCGAGAGGTATATGGGGACTTTGGTGCACTATTTACACTAAATCGGACGAAAATATATATGGGAGCTATATCTAAATCTGAACCGATTTTTACTAAATTTAAAACACATCGTCCTAGGGTTTATTCAGTACCTTATACCAAATTTCGTGCAAATTGAAGGATATATAGGGACTTTGGTGCACCATTTACATAAAATCGGACGAAAATATATATGGGAGCTATATGTAAATCTGAACCGATTTTCCTGAAACTTAACACACATCATTCTAGGCTTATTTTAGTAGTATATGCCAAATTTCGTGCAAATCGAATGATATATAAGTACTTTGATGCACCATTTACTTTAAATCGGACGAAAATATATATGGGAGCCATATATACATCTGAACCGATTTTTCCCAATTTCATAGGGTTCGTCCTTGGGCCAAATAAATGAACTGTGCCAAATTTCATCCAATTCGAATCAAAAATGCGACCTGTACTTTGTTTACAATTTAACATCTACCGACGGACAGGCGGACGGAGATGCAAAATCTACGCCTATTATAGCGGCCTAAAAAAATAATTTTAAAAAATCCGCGCCTGTTTGAGGTCCTTAAAAATTAATTTTAAAAAATTCACTCCTATTTTGGGTGCCTAAAAAATTAATTATAAACCAGTGAGCGGAGCAGTATAATATTTCGCTATATTTGCACCCTCCTGACCAACTACAGGTCAACAAATATTACTAATATTCAGTACAGCCCTTCTAAATCCTTTTCAACATTTCTTCCTTCACCGCGGGTTGTGTTGTGATGTTCAGGTTTCAGTTGTGGCCTATAGATCGATTCGAAAAAACGCAAAAAAATTAAGTTTTCGGTCCACTTCATCTCAATATTATTATCGGTTCATCATCGAAAATTATAGGCGTTGTCCTTGACCATACCTGGACCCTCATCTGATCATCACCGAAACTTATGGGCGTTGTCCTTGACCATACCTGGACTCTCATTGAAAATTTCAAAGCGATTAGCGCTATATTTCCGACCTCTTGTAAGATAATGGGTTACTGAATAATTTCTGAATACGTAAGCACTTGTAAATATTTAAGTGTAACTCCCACATCTGAGTACCTACGACCATATAATTGGTATCACTTTTTAAGGTCAACCACTCCTCTTGAAAATACTATCAACTTCTCGGGTTTAGGTCTTTCAGGAGCAAATATATACGCTACAGAATACAAATATTGACATTTTTCACACAAAAGTCAAGGTCCATTTGTCCTGCTAAATATTGATCTTTAAAAAACAGACATGCTTATTCTTAGTCCCGATCCCCTTCTCCATGTAAAAATTCGTGATATTTGGACCATAATTGCGGCCTCTGAAACGACCAGAAAATCAAACAATAATAAAGTTTTTGGTCCATTTCATCATCTAATATTAACCGATCTTTATCAAAAACTATAGGGGTCTTCATTGACCAGTACCCATTCTACATGCAAAATTTCGTGAAGATTGGTCCATAACTCTGGCCTGTATCGTGTTTACAAATTATAATGGATAGACGGACGGACACACATGTCTAGATCGATTCGGCTAGCCGATATATGACAATCGGTATACTTAAAGATGGGTCTAGGATCAATATTTCGCGGCGTTGCAAACTCTTGGGGCTGCACAAAGCTAAAATACCCTGACATCATAGTTGTGTAGGGTATAAAAACCACGCCTTTATTTTTTTTTTTGTTTATTCGATAACCTACCTCTCTCTCAGCTCGGCAATATTTTCCCGCAACACCGTCGTCTCATTCAGCAATATATTTATCTTGGCATAGAGAACACTCCACAGACCGGCATTATTGTGCTCCGGAACTGGATCCTAATTGAATATTTTTTTATTTCAATATTTTTTTAAAATTTATTTTTTTTATTTTCACACACTCACATCATTTACGCCAATTGTCAAATGGCTTTCGACTAAATTTATGGCTGTCCAAGCGATAACCAGCAGAAAAAGAATTTTCATTTTCTATTTCTGGCGTCGGACTTCTTTACCCGAATAAAGTTTGGTAGCTACTAATCAAGGTTGGAGCGGAATGATTGCTTTTTATATATTTAGCCATATGGCCAAGTGATAAGCAACAGGAGCGGGAAATTTGGTGATAAGGGTAGAGGGTGGTGAAAAGGGGGATGGAAACGTTGTGGATAAATATATTTGGAATTATTACTTCAAGACCCTACTAGGTGGTCCTCGCTTGGATTTTATTAAGGGAAATATTTATTTATTTTTGTTTTGTTTTAGAAATTTTTTTTGCAAAGCCGCTAACATCGTTAGTGTTTGAAATACATTTTCAAATCTAAGAAAACATCTCGCAATATAAATTAAATGTGTTTAATTTTTGTTGGTTCGTACCAGACACATACAAAATATTATCAGGCATTGAAAATTTTGGTATAGGTTAAGATAGCTGAACATGATGTCAACAACACAACAAACCATGACGGTTGTAATTAGATCATTGCGAAAAATATTATTTGAAAACTAAAAAAAATTGGCAAGTATCGAGGGTCGTTGCGGAAATTAGTTTAAAAAATCACACACTTTATAGGTCCATAAAAAATTCATTTAAAAAAATCCACGCTACTTGGGTGACCTTATTAATAGATCTTGGCATAGATCGTTGTCTCAGTCTGTTAAGTTAGATCTCTAACAAGAAAATGCAGGGACTTAAATTTGGTCTTCAATCCAGAAAAGTCAAACACGATATACTTTGCCAAAAATAGTATCAAACGGGTTACCTTAAATATAGAGGGCATAGAGATACAGCAGGTGAAAAAGTTAAGATTCCTGGGAAGAATCATTACAAATTCCCTAACGGCAAGAGATCATCATGAGCACATAAGTGAAGAGCTAAAGGGTAGACCGAATTTACTTAAATGTTTGACGACGGTGAGAAAATGGCCATGAACACGTACAAGAGTTCTATAAGAGCGAATGTTGAGCATGACAGGACGACAACGGCCAATGCGCCGGCGTATATCAATAAAAATATCGAGCGCCTACAGAATAAGATGATCAGAAGATCGTTGGGAGTTACGACCACTTCACTGATTCATGTGAGGCATGTCCCCCAAATATCGAGCTATGGTCCTAACAGCCAACGAAATTATTAGAAATGTATACAGCAATGAGAGATTATATGAGATAGTAGCGGATAACCCACGAGTTGAATCCAGTTATAGTGCAATATTTTACGAGTTTGACGACATCTTCCAAAAGATCAGAATAAGTTCATATAAATATCAGGACAAATTGACGATAAGAACAAATCTTTTACCCTCTACGAAGCAGAATGATCCTGTTGATGTAATACATGCCATATATAAATGTGAGATGGAATACTATAAATGTAATGGCTTCACCATTTTTGCCACTGATGCTTCGGTTGGACGTGAGACCACAGGGTGTGGTGTATACAATGTGTCCAATAAGGACAAGTTACACTTTAAGTTGGACATTAAGTCCTCGTCCATGTTCGGCGAACTTTATGCTATTAAAAAGGCGCTTGAAACTGCGACGGAGGAGGTTTATGGCAATCTGATCATCTTTACAGACAGCCTTGCGGCCTGTAAGGCTCTAGGCTCTGACAATTTTCTGGTTGCTGAATGTCACAATCAAATTTGTACAGATGTCATGTGGATTTGACTCCGAGTCATAAATTTAATGAAGTTTTGGATTTTTTGGCAAACCAAACGGTGGATGCAGGTGCACCAATTGTGACATATCTGACCCCGAAGGAGGCGATAAAACAGATAGAAAGGAGAGTACAGGACATGTGGAATGAAGAATTTCAGACAGTTTCCTTGACCAAAAGGCAGATTCTTTTTCCAATTCTCTGCCGATGTGTATAGCAAATTGTGGTATTGCAAAATCAATTTCAGCCCGGATGATACAAAATTAATTAACAGGCTCATGACAGGACATTCGTATTGCAAAGTCGATCTACATCGTTTAGGTGTCAATGATTCTTGGCAATACGATTTATACGGTGTTCCTGAATACGTGGAGCACTGCATTTTTATATGCCCTAGATGTAATCAATTAAGAATCGCAACCTTTTTTCGCAACATAATAATCTTATGACAATCCTGAAATCCACTGAGGAAGAGCTATTCGAGATATTAATTCCCTTCATCAAAGAGGCGAAAATTCATCTGTGATCATCATCCTGGTACCTATCCCATCTCAAACTGTGATATTAGTTTAAGTTTTTAACTGCTTTTGGATCAATAACTAATTTATGACTTTTCTCCCACTCCTCCTTTTTGTACCTCTTTTCTATTTAGTACCTATCTTCAGCACCCTTGAAGGCGCCTAGAGGTCTTGGAGAATCAACCTTGTGTGACCAAGAAGCAGTTTTAGTTCCGGAAATTCTTCGTCTGCGGTTTGCAGTTTTTGTCACTACCATGGCACAATGAATAGGTAGTCCATTTAGCGCAGCTGATGTCTTGATTAACTGTCAAAGTGGGTAATTTATACTTGTATTTGATGTGCAGTGTTGCCAACCATTTGAAATATTATATGTAAAAATGGAGACAAAAACAAAGGTTTTTGTTGTGATACATTACCTTATTATTGCATCATGGTCACTACATACACCTTATGCACTTGGACATTTCTCAACCGGGAGGTCGTAGGTCGGATAAAGTTTGACAACCCACAAATCGACGCCTATTTTTTGTTGAATCGCACCTTGGGTTCCTAAATAATTATTTTCATGGCTTCTATAATTAAAATAAAATTTCCCAACTAAATAATTGTTTTAAAAATATATTTATAATTTATAATCTTATTTTTAAAATTTATATTGGTCATAAAAATCACGCGGATTACCTTTTTTTGTTTACAAATCCCAAATCAAATCTGTGGAAATAATTCCTTATCTCAATGCCCTGATTATTCGTTGCGAAAACTTCTGGTAATTTTTGAAAATTTAAAAAAAAAAAAACGATAATAGTTATAATTTATAATGGGGTTGAAAACTAATAAAAAATATTTTTATAAAAAATATATATTTTTAATATAAAAAATACATTTTTTATATAAAAAGTATTGAATTAAAAAAATTTAATTGAATTAATAAAATGAAAAATTATTTTCCAATTAGTTTTTAATTAAATTAATTTTTGTTTTATTTTTTAAGTAGCTGGGTACTCTTAAAGATTGATAAGAAACTTAATCAGAAGTCTGCAATTAATTTGTACCACTCACAAATTGGATCATAAATCCAAACAAAGCGATTATCAATTTTTGGACACTTGACAAATACGAACAACAACACCAACAATCAAACAAATCAATTTTTTGCCCACAAATGGGGTTTTGGGGGCGCACGACCCACAATATAAGTCCAAAATCGTCAACATCATCATCAGCACCATCATCGGTTAAAAAATAATTTTGTGATGTAGAGGTTGGAAATATTTGGATCATGTTTTTGTTTTTTTCCAAGAAAGTTATTAGAAATTCTATAGAAATTGGGTATTTCGTATCAGGTGAGACACCGACCGAACAAGAAAACACCAAGGAATTATTTCACTTCTTTTTTATCAACCTCTACCACTGATGTCAGCCAAGCGCCGCCGAGTAATGATATCAGCCACCGACCGAGCGACCAACAAAAACAATCATGATCATATTTAATAATTTTTGTTGTTCTTAAGTTTTCTGCCAATAATTTATTATCGTCGATATAAATATCATAGAATATTTGATATTATTTGTCAGTACCATTTTGATTTTGAAACGTGAAACATATCCCAAAACAGGTGTCGGGAGAGAGCACGCCATGAAACTGCTGGGCATTTTACTTGTTTTATGTGTGGCACAAAGGGCGGTTGCCGAAGATAATTCGGATTTGTCGGTGAGTTTGAAATGGAAAAAGCAACGATTTAAAAAAAAAGTTTTCAGACACCAACAACAGGCGGGGATTTTCAAAATTAATATAAATATAATAGGCGTGGATTTTTTTAATTAAATTTTAGGGACCTACAATAGGCGTGGATTTTTTCAAATTATTTTTTAGGAAGCTATAATAGGCGTGGATATTTATACCCTACACAACTATGTGGTCAGGGTATTATAGCTTTGTGCAGCGCCAAGAGTTTGTAAAGCCGCGAAATATTGGTCCACCTTTAAGTATATTGATCGTCATATCTCGACTAGCTAAGTCGATCTAGACATGTGTGTCCGCCCGTCTGTCCATTATAATTTGTAAACACGATACAGGCCACAGTTATGGATCAATCTTCACGAAATTTTGCATGTAGGATGGATTCTGGCCAATGAAGACCCCTATTGTTTTTGGTAAATATCGATTAATATTTCGGGGATGAAATGAACCAAAAACTTCTTTGTATGATTTTCTGGTCGCTCCAGAGGCCGCAATTATGGCCCAAACTTAGCGAATTTTCACATTGAGAAGGGGATCGGGCCAAAGAATAAGCATGCCTGTTTTGATAAAGATCGGTCAATATTTAGCGGGCCAAATGGACCCTGACTTTTGTGTAAAAAACGACAAAATTTGTATTCTATAGTGTATATATTTACCCCTGAATGACATAGACCCGAGACCCGAGTTGATAGTATATCCAAGAGGAGTGGTTGACCTTTAAATTGATACCAATTTATATTGCCGTATATCCGCGGATGTGGGAGTTACACTTAAATATTTGCAGGTGCTTACGTATTCAGATATTATTTAGTAACCCATTACCACACTAGGGGGCGGAAATATAGCGCTGACCGCTTTGAAATTTTCCATGAGGTTCCAGTTATGGTCAAAGACAACGCCTATAATTTTCGGTGATGATCAGATAATAATAATGGTATGAAGTGGACCAAAAACTTAACTTTTTGTGTTTTTTTTTTCGAGTCGATCTATAAGCCACAATTATAAGCCGAACATCACAACTCACAGCGAAGGGAATATGGACAAGTAATTAGAAGGACTGTACTGATATTCGGAAACTATGTCAGTGCAAGGAAGAGGTGCTGTTGACTTCTAATCTGGCAAGAGGTGGCAACTATCACGAAATATTGCTCAGACTTGGAATGGAATCGGCCCGGTCCGACTATACTGATCCGCTCGCTGGTTTTAAATTATTTTTTACATCCCCAAAATAAGTGTGTATTTTCATACCCTTCAATACAATGTGGTACAGGGTATTATGTCTTTGTGCATATGTTTGTAACAGGCAAAAGGAAACAAGATAGACCCATGATTCCTTTTGAGAATATGCATAGAATCACTTTCTGAGTCGATTTATGCATGTCTGTCCGTCCGTCCATCCATGTTAAATTGTAAACAAAGTACAGGTCGCACTTATGATTGGAACTGAATGAAATTCGGCATAGGCCACTTATTTGGCCCAAGGACGAACCCTATCGAAATTGGGAAAAATCGGTTCAGATTTAGATATAGCTCCCATATAAAGTTTTATCCGATTTTATGTAAATGGGGCTCTGAAGCCCCTATATATCTTTCGATTTGCACGAAATTTGGCATAGTTTCGTGAAAATCGGTTAAGATTTAGATATGGCTCCCATATATATTTTCGTCCGATTTTATGTAAATAAAGCACCAAAGTCCCTCTATATCCTTCGATTTCCACGAAATTTAACATAGCGTACTGAATTAAGTCTTCAACGATGTGTGTTAAATTTCATGAAAATCGGTTCAGATTTAGATATAGCTCCCACATATATTTGCGTCCAATTTTATATAAATGGTGCAAGGATTCCCTTATATCCTTCGATTTGCACGAAATTTTGCATAGTGTACTGAATTAAGTCTAGAATGATGTTTGCTAAGTTTCATGAAAATCGGTTCAGATTTGGATATAGCTCCCATATATATTTTCGTCCGATTTAGGGTAAATGGTGCACCAAAGTCCCTATATATCTTTCGATTTGCACGAAATTTGGCATAGCGTAATGAATAAGGTCTAGAATGATGTGTGTTAATTTCCTGAAAATCGGTTCAGATTAAGATATAGCTCCCGTATGTCTTTTCTTTCGATTTCATGTAAATGGTGTACCAAAGTCCCTATATATCTTTCAATTTGCACGAAATTTGGCATAGAGTACTAAATTAGGTATAGAATTTTGTGTGCTAAGTTTCGTGAAAATCGGTTCAGATTAAGATATAGCTCCCATATGTCTTTTCTACCGATTTTATGTAAATGGTGTACCAAAGTCCCTATATATCTTTCGCTCAATTTCATATCAATGTTCTTTCGAAAAGGCGACGTCTGTTAGGAGACTATGTAGAATATACCCAAAGTGGTGAAGGATGTCATATTGTCGGTCCAGTCCGACTTAACTACTTTCCTTACTGGTTTTATTTATTTTTTTGTAAATTAATTTTTTTTAATTAATTTTTTGTAAATTATTTTTTTAATTATTTTTTTTTTAAATTAATTTTTTTAAATAAATTTGTTTAAAATTAATTTTTAACAAAATTAATGTTTCTTTAATTATTTTTTTAATATTAATTTTTTTAGATTATTTTTTAATATTCATTTTTTTAATTAATTTATTTAAAATCATCTTTTAATGTATTTTTTATTTTTTATAAGGATCCCGTTGCCTTCGACAATGATGAAGTCCTTTGGCATGTCCTTTATACCAAATTGAATTTGATTATGAATGTCACGGATACTATGAGTGATACCGTAATGGAATTGCAAAATAGGTATGTACCTAACCTCACTTTTCAAATTCATTTCAATAAATAAAATTAATGAATATTTTCAGACAACGTGAACAGGAGGATCGCACAATGCAATTGATAGAAAAACTAAATACCGATGCCAAACAATATATGGATGAACAGTTTAAGGAATTGTCGGAAAGGTAAAAACATTTAAAAAAAATTAAAAATATATTTGGAAAAAAATTATTGTCCTGTTTGGGCTTTGAAAAATATTTAAAAAAATACGTTTTAAAAAATATGTTTTTAATAGCCATAAAAATATTGGGTTTTTAAAAATATTTTTTATCTAAGGCCGCTTTGGTCAATAAAAAAATATTTTTTTTAAAAGTCCACTTACATGTTGGGCCTTTGAAAATATATATATATATTTTTTAAATCCACGCTGGGTTTACGTTGGGTCTTTGAAAAAAAATATTTTTTTTAAAATCCACTACAATATTGGGTCTGTAAAAAATATTTTTTTTAAATCCACTTCTATGTTGGGTCTTTGAAAAAAATATTTTTAAAAAATCCCCGACAGTATTGGGTCTTAAAAATATATATATTTTTTTTTAAATCTAACATCTGTTTGGCATATAGAAAATTATTTTTAACAAAATCTACGTCTTATTCTTTTTTCAAAAAATATATTTTTTAAATCTATTTCTTATTTTAACTTCAAAAATATTTTATTAAAAATCTATGGAAATCAATTACTAAATATTTTACAAATTATAAAGCATACTTTTAGGCATGTTTTATAAACTCATAATTTTTGGTAAAAATTTTTAAAATTTCTTTCTTTATTTCCCTTTTCAGACAATCCCAACAAGAAGCCAAACTAACCCATCTTGTGGAAAAAATCGATGAATATTTTTCGGAAACCAATAAAAGATTTGATGACCTCACCTCCCGCCAAGATAACCAGGAAAATCTAATTGTGAGCATTTCCAATCAAACCCAAGCCTGGACGACAGTGATGCGTCGTCAAGATGGCTCTGTGGATTTCTATCGTAAATGGGCGGAATATAAATCGGGTTTTGGCAATCCGCCAAATGGTGAATTCTTTATTGGTTTGGATAATCTCCATCGTATGACCTCCCGAGAGCCTATGGAGCTATTGGTTGTAATGCATGAATGGGGTGGCGATATGGTCCATGCCCATTACGATCTGTTTCGCATTGGTGGCGAATATGACAAATATGCCATTAAGGTATTGGGTAATTATAGCGGTGATGCTGGTGATGGTTTGCAATATCATTTGGGTATGCCATTTTCAACCTACGATCAGGATAACGATGAATCGACGAGGAATTGTGCCAGCTATTTTCGGGGGGCATGGTGGTTTAAGTCGTGTTATTCGAGGTAAGAGGGAGGAATATTTTTTTAATTTCAATTTTTATAATGATTCTGGAATTTGTTTTTTTTTTCTATAGCCATTTGTGTGGTCCCTATCGTTTTGAGGCCAATGCCAATCAGGCCGGTGTCAGCTGGGATAAATGGAAGGTGGACTATTCATTCCGATTTGCCGAAATGAAAATTAGACCAAAATTAGTCTGGTCACCTTCTAATAATATCACAGAATCGGAAATGGAAAAGAAAAAATTATTTTAAAATTTGTAAAATAAAATAAATTATAAATAAAAATTATGGAAAATAAAAAAAAACTTTAAAAAATCAATGCCTTGGTTTGGATATTGAAAAATTAATTTAAAAAATCTACGATTTTAAATTTTCGTCTTGCTGTTCGTTTGTTACGATACAAATAATCATTAATTTCCAAAATTGTGTATAGTTGTTGTTGTTTTCTTCTTTCATATTTATTTTAGCCATTCCGGGGGCCCATTATGAAGATTAGATCTTTCCTTTACACAATAAACTTTCAATTCAAATAATTTCCACTAAAAATTAATAAAAGACAAATTATACAAATTAAATCTTGTTGTCGGCAATATTTAATTTCGCTTTGGACAATAGACCAGTATCGCCCATATCCTCATTGTAGCCGGGACGATATTTCATGCCAGGGGCCTAAGAAAAAGAGAGAATGAAAATAATCAATTTGTATACCACTAATAAAACTATATCTCCCACTCACATTAAACCAAATATCACGCCATTTCTTGCCACTGTCGGGATCACGCAACAATTCGGGTACATCGAAACGTGGCACATTAAAGTAGTTCATCAAATCGGGTTTACCCGATGTATACTGAATGCGGGCCTCACCCCATTCCGATTCATTGTGGAATCGCCAATCTTTCATTTTCTTTTCGGCTGGATCGAAGTCGAAATTCTCGAAATCTATACGTTCGATATCTTCAACAACAACTTCAGTCTCGCCACCGGCTGTCCAATCGTAAATCAAGAGTTCAGCATGAGTGGCAATATCCTTGAGGTATTGTTGTTTATAGATGTTCTCCATATCGCGCAAATAGGCATCAGTGAAGACGGGCGATTTAACTTCGTAGTCGTTGTTGCGGGCCTTGATGCGTTGCTATGGAAAAATAGAAAGGAAATAAAAAATTGTTAATTAAAAAATTTGAAATAAATATAAAAAATCAGAGGTGTATTTTTTATCGAATTTCTAATGTTTCGGATATACATTTATATACAACCTATGCAAAAACCTGCACCGATGTTTTTCAATTATTTGGAAAGAGCTTTTATATGCCTTGAGAACCATAAAGACTTAATTAGAACCAAATCGGTTGTAATTTTTAACCAAAATCCGTAAATAATATGGTTTTTCTATAAGAGACCTATACACAAAACCTGCACCGATATTGTCAATTTTTTGTAAAGAGCTTTTCTATACCTCCAGAACCCTTAAAACGTAATTATAGCCAAATCGGTGGGAATTTTTAACCAAAATCCCCAAATAAGGTGATTTCGCTATAAGGGACCTATATACAAAACACTGCACACATTTTGTCAATTTTTTTGCAAAGAGCTTTCATATACCTTGAGAACCCTAAAAACGTATTTACAACCATGTCGGCTGGTATTTTTAACCAAAGTCCGCAAATAAGGTGGTTCCGCAGACAAAGGCCTTTTGTATCCCTTGCAATGGGTTTTTGTATTCCTTGAGATCCCTAAAAACTTAATTACAGCCAAATCGGTAGGAATTTTGAACCAAAATCAGAAAATAAGTAGGTACCGCTATATGGGATATATACCAAAATCTGCAGCGATATTGATAATTTTTTTCCAAAGAGCTTTTCTATACCTTGGGAGCCCTTAAAAATTAATTCGGGCCAAATCGGTTGTAATTTTTAACCAAAATCCGCAAATAAGGCGGTACTTCCTTCTGGGGCCTATACCAAAATCTGCAGCGATATTAATAATTTTTTGCAGGTAGCTTTCATATACCCTTAGAACCCATTATACTAAATTACCGACAAAACGTTTACAATTTTTATCCAAAATTCTTAAATATGAAAGTAGATCTATATGGGGCCTATGTCATAATCTGCAACGATTCTGAAAATTTTTTGCACAGATATTGTATATACCCTGAGGACACTTTATATTAAATTACAGCTAAATCGATTGAAAAAGTGCGGTCAAAAGCATCAAATAGGTTGGTACCGCTATGGGAGGGCTATGCCAAAATCTGCACCGAATTTTATAATTTTTCGCATAGAGGTTTTTTACGACCTGAGAAACTTTTATACTAAATTGTAGCCAAATCGATTAAAAAGTGTGGTCAAATTTATCAAATAAGTTGGTATCGCTATGAGTGGGCTATGTCAAAATCTGCATCGATTTTTATAATTTTTTGCATGAGAAACTTTTATACTAAATTATAGCCAAATCGATGGAAAATGTGGTAAAAATTCTCAAATAAGTTGGTATCGCTATGAGTGGGCTATGCCAAAATCTGCATCGATTTTTATAATTTTTTGCATAGAGGTTCTGTACGACCTGTGTATCCTCAATACCAATTTACAGCCAAATGGATTGAAAAATGTGTTCAAAATCATGAAAAAAGTTGGTACCGCTATGGGATGGCTATGCCAAAATCTGCATCGATTTTTATAACTTTTCGCATAGAGGTTTTCTACGACCTGAGAATCCATTACACCAAATTGTAGCCACATCGCTTGAAATTTTTAGTCAAAACCCTCAATTTATGTGGAACTGATATGTGGGACCTATGTCTAGGGGACCACCAATGTTGAAAATTTATTATAAGAAGTTTACCAGGCGTGGAGAACCCCTAATACTAAATTTTAGCTCGATCGGATGAAAAATGTGGTCAAGCCCCCTCGATTTATGTGGTAAGGTTATATGGAAGCTATGGCAAATCATGGACCTAATGTCATAATTTATGGTAAAAATGTTTTATACCCTCTGAGGACCTCTGATATTAAATTATCGACAAATTGGTTGACAAATTCAGAATAATATTCTGATCCGACGAAAGGGGCTAATGGGAGATATTGCAAAGCCTTTACCGATATTGACAATTTTTTGCATAGAGCTTTTGTATACCCTAAGAACCTCCAATACCCAATAATAGCCACATCGGATGAAAAATTAGTTCAAACACTTTAATTCATATGTTACGCTAATGTAGAACTTATGGTAAAATGTGAACTAATTTCCGAAAATTATGAAAAGGTGCTTTTCTATCCATAAAGAACCAGCTAATTGCGAAAAAATGGCAAATTGTTCAAATCAAGTAGTATCAGTACATAGGGTCTAAATCCGAAAATCGGAAAAAATTTTGCGGGATTTGGGTTACCGCTCGGCTGTCGTTACAATCGATATGCCGTTATAAACTATGCCATTTCGATGACGATTTCGACTGTAATTTTTGATTTTACTATTTCCTTTCAATTACTTTTTTCATTCCCCTTAGAATTTCGCCCAAGATATCTACTCTATAACAACAACAAAAAATTATTTCCTTTTAACATTTATAGTTGAATTTTCTATTACAATTTACTCACCTTAACAGCATCCACGGGCAAATCCAAATAGATAACCAAATGAGGTTTCAACAGTTCCGTAATGGTATTACCTCTCAATTCATAGTATACCGAACGAGCACCCTTCGAGACATAACCATGTTTGTACATTGTCTCCAAGAATACAAAATCGGAATAACAACTGCGATCCAATACCACACCCTGGCCGGTGGACAACAAATGTGCCAATGCATCAACATATTGTTCAAAACGCAATTGATACATTAGAATTTGGAAAGTTGGTGTTAGGCGATGATTTGGTTCCTTGCAGAAATTTACCAAATCAAAGGAACGGCATGATTCTGGCAATTGAGAATCCAATTGACGTAAATCATAACCATATGAATTGATGTAGAACATATCCATATTGGCTTCGGGCACGTAGAGCATTTCCAATTCATCAGCTAGCTCTTTGGCAAATTTACTTTTACCCGCTGCAATGGGACCTTCAACACAAATGATTTTGGAATTTTCATTCAGACGTTTTGTGGTCTTGTCGAGCATGGCCTGGAAGACGCCATATTCCTTTTCCTTATAGGGATAGGGTTTGTGTTGGACAACACGGGGACCACCGCGCATTGTTTTGCCCGAAATGAAACGTTGCTGGGTCACGGCAGCCGGCAGGGCGGGAGCATTGCGTGAGCAAAGGCGTATCAGGCCTACTCTGAAAACGGCAGTCATCTGTAAGCCAAAACAATAAAAATTTATTAAAAATTGTTGTTATTGTTTATTATCAAATATAATTTATCCTCATTTTTATTTTTGCAATAAATATCCATCCCCTAGCACAGGCTGTTACATCACACACTTGCAGCCCTGCTTGCTCCAGTGCAAATCAAATGTTAGGGCAATGATTTTGTTTCAAGCAAAACAAATTGTGTTTAATTGTTGTCTTTTTCATGCTTAATCCCACCAATAATTGTATTAACTTTTATTTTTTTAATTTATTTTGTTAAAAATCTTCCTAAACTCACTTTTCTGAGGGAAAATGCTCTTCAATTTTGGATGACAGATATCGATTCCACTGACAGCAGCCGCCGTTGTCAAAGTGTTGTTGGTGTTTTTGTTAGCAGTGTGTCAGCTGTTGTCAATGGCACACACAGTCAACAGGGTTGCATGGAAAGAGTAGCATGGTTGATGGCTGATGTTAATGGGAGACAG